ATCTATTACAGCCAACAGCATCAGAAACAGAGGGTACAAAGAAACCATTAACTAAAGATTATACAGGGCTGGCCGAGTGGCGCAATGGTTAAGAGCTGGCTTGGGACACCAGAGGGCCCCAGTTAGGATCCCACATATGAGGGCCAGTGACACTGCCCTCTACAGCTAAGACACTGAACAACAGCTCGACCTGGAGCTGGGCTGCCCTGAGTGGCCAACGAAGGTGTAGGCTGCAGTCCCTGTGGCAGTGGGTTGCCATGGGCTACTGTGTGTAGCCAGCAGCCAGCGTGAGCAGCCAGCAGCCAGCGTGAGCGGCCGTCCAGAAGCCAGCGACTGCAACTGATCTGCCTCGCCCAGGAAGAGCACAATGACGGTGCCAACTTGGGCCAGTGAAGCAACGTCCTCCACAACTAGACTGAAGAACAAAACGACAGCAACTTCTCTGTTCCCCTTCCCCCAATTCCCCAATTATAAAAAAAAACCTCTTAAAAAAAAGATTATATAAACATAGCTCTGGATTTATTCTTTCCAGAAATTTCCTTCTTTTGTCTTTCATTAACAATGTACCAAAATGTGAAGGTTTTAAGAACATTCTCAACCCCAGTACAATGTGCTGTAGGATTTGCTCCAGCTTTGTCTGGAAAGCAAGGAAGAGAGCACATCACGAAAGAATATTCCTGAGTATGCACACCTCAGAGATGAAATATTTGGTCAGGGGGTGTGGATGAAGTGGGAGGAGGAGGGGAGCATTACCCAAGCACACACAGACCCAAACCAAGAAGCAGTGTGCCAATCTCTTTAGCTATCCAAAATCTGTATTGACATATCTGGGAAGGAAAAAAACTGTATTTGTTCCATATGTCTCACAAGAGTGTAGTAGAATAATTTGAGTTATCAGGTCACAAAAGTATCAAAGTGATAGGAAATCTTGAAAACTAAGTGATGTTTAACTCTCACCCCACCCCCACCCTCATCCAGAAGCTTCCTGTTGAGTACTGTGGGCTTCAATCCCACCCACTCATCACCTTCCCTTAAAAAGACAGCAAGCAGCAACTGCTGAGGGGTAACCAAGCACTCACTTCTTGCAGTCGCAGTAAGCTGGATTTTCCTGTTTTCAGAAAATACCTTCAGAGCAATTGAGGTTAGTATTGTCTGTTGTCTTTGTTTGCAGTGCTCTGGGAATACTTTAGTTGTGATCACTCGTTCTAGGAGGGAACCCAAAACTGCCGCCACCACATATTCTCTTGGTTATGCACTGAGCCTGAGGGTCCTCCCAACATCACATTTGGGTGCCTTTGGGGGGTCTTGAGGTGGACTGGATAGCTGTTGAGGGGGTACTTACAACACCAGCAATGATCCCTTCCACATGCACAGGGTAGTACAGTTACAAGCTATTTCATTATACATGACTTTATAACAGTCTCAGATACTCAGGGATGTATGCAGAGGACATGCTGTCTTCACTTGAGAGGTGGAAGATCTGAGGCTCAGAGCACTGAAGTGACTTGCTTATGGTCACACAGCTGATAGGTGATGGGGCCTCCTGATGTGAAGGTCCTCCCAATCATCCCAACATCACACATCAACTCCTCAAAGTTTGTTCTTTGCTTTCTCAGTCTGAGGCACATCACCCCCAGTGAGTTGGGATACATCCTTGGGAAAAAAGTTCAGGTTTGCAGATGAGCTGAGAACCTGGGATCTGAACTTTAATGACAAAAGAACTAGGAGTAGGAGGAAGAAGGGGAATTGCTCCCATATAGTCCTGAATAAGTAGGGATTTTAAAAAATACTTCCTGGTGTGTTTCTTCATGGAGAACCTGCTAGTTTTCAAGGTTTGTCTCAGCACTATTGACACTATGGGCTACCTACAGTCCCCAGGGAGGGGCTGTCCTGTGCATTGTAGGACGTTTAGAAGCATTGCTGGCCTCTAACCACTAGATGTCAGTAACACCTCCCCCAACTCCCCATCTTGTGCCAAAAAGTCTGCGAACTTTCCAAATGTGTTCTGGTGGGCAAACTTACCCTGAGTGAGAACCACTGTCTTCAGTCTAGCCTCTGCAGAGCAGCCAGGCAGATGTATGCTAATCACCACCTCACTCTCATGCTTCCTGCCTGCAGAGGCTCCCAACTGCAGTCAGGAGAAAGTCCAGCACCCTTCATGTTCTGGGCCCTGCCAGCCTCTCCAGTAACTTTTCTCTCTACTTCGTGACTCACAATCTTTGCTCTAGCCCTGAACAACTGCTCGTAGGTGGTTCCCACAGAGCCATGCTAGTTTGTGTCCCCACATGCATGCTGTTCTCTCTGCATGGAGTATCTTCCTGTGAATTGTTTATTTCAAAAATCCTACCCAACCTTCAAGAGTTGGTGCAGGCATCACGTGGAAACCTACCCTAAGTCCTTCCCTTTCCCCTAACAGAAGGCTGGATCAAGTCCCCCATCTGTGCTTCCACAGTACCTTCTGCAAACTTGTCACAGCATTCATCACGCCATCCTGTAAATGTCTTTCACGCCTGCTGTGAGTTCCTGAAGGGCAAGGCTGTCTTACTCAAGTCTGAAGCACAGTGCCTGGCAGGTGGCATTTACTCAGCAGTGTTTATTCAAATGAACCACAAAAGATAGGTGAAAGCACCCTAGGTTGAGTCATAAAACCAGGATTCTAGTCCTACTCCTGCCACTAGCTAGCTAAGTTTTTGCTTCCCATCACCAAACCTGTTTCCTCATCTGAGGTATCAGAATTTGGACTAAATATCTAAGGGTCCTTATAAGTTGGAATTGCAGATAATAAGATGTTCCATTTTTTCATAAACGTTTCACTTAAAAATGTTTCCCGGGCCAGCCGAGTGGCTCAGTTGGTGAAGAACTCACTCAAGAGTACAAGTTCTGAGCAACAGGGTTGCCAGTTTGATTCCTGGCCCGAGCTGAGCTACCAGCAGGTGGCAGGATGGCTCAGCTAAAAAAAATTTCCCAAAAGACAAGGTCATCTTCTTCCTCCCCCTTCTGAATGTGCATGGGTTCCTCTAACCTTTTTCGAAGTCTTTTGCTGTTGACTATTTCATTTGACCCCAGAAATAATTATGACAACCTGGAGGATATAATTTCAAACAGGACCATTCTTCCAAACAAGTGACATAAAATAAAGGTAAACTGTCAGATGTTACTATTATGGAAGACTGAAAAATGTGTATTTATGTGTATAAGAGACCCTTCTGGGTGGTGTGACAGGCAGGTGTTGGGCAGAGGATTACAGCAAGTCTTTTCACTGAATACTTTATATTGTTAGATTTTTTGAGGTACGTGAATACAGTATCCATTTAAAAATTGAATATAGTGAATACAACCAAATTTATGGCATCATTCCCCAAGCACCATTTGAACTGGCCATAAGAGCAGGTGACCTATTGACCCAAGGTCAGTGGCCAGACCACATCTGTCAGAGCTGCTCAAAGAAAACCCTCCTGGCTAACTGCATTTACAAAAAATCAAGAGAAATGCAGACTACGAAGTACAATCATGATCTAGTTTCAAAGTGCTTTAATCTGGTTCACTCCCTGGCAGTAGAGTGTAAAAATAAGGCTAAATTTCATAGCAGGTACCACAAAAAAGGGAGGTGAAGTATTCAGGCCCTAATGTTGAACCTGACCAACTGATCTTTACCTGTCCTTTTGTAGCCCCTCACTATACATTCACCTAGAGATAAATTTAGTGGATGATCCCTGCCCAGAGGCACAGTGGAGTGATAATAGACCTAAAACTCAGATTTAGTGATAGATTTAGTAATGTTGTCAATTAGTCTTCTGTATCCGTCTGAACTACCTGCTCTTTCTTCCTTTCCAGAAATAGTTCTCGTAACTATCAACTGAGTCCTGTGCAGCACTAAATATAGACCAGAAGTTGTATTAACTTTGTAATCACAAACATGGCTTTCCTTGAAGAGTTCCATCATCACAGGTTGGCACACTATGGACATTACTTTTAAGTGTGAATGCCACCTCCTTGCTCTGTAAGCCCTGACCTGTAAGATGAGTTCGACGGAAACCACACAGTGCAGGTGTTTAAGATCATCAGCAGAACAAATGTTCAACTAGATAAAGGATGGAGATGAAAAACAATTTAGTTTTCTCTCTTGGAGGTCCTGTAGTCACTCTATACACATGGAGTATCACCATCTTTATTGTAGTGACACCTTTTCAGATCTTCACATTTCAAGTGGTCAGTACAGTCATTTTAATAAACATAATGTCTGTTGTTGCTGCTCTAAAGGAAAAGTCAACACTTAAGCAAATGTTATGTGTTAAGATACAGTATACTTGAAAGCTGAAGATGCAATCTCAGTTTTAAAAGCATCCTACCTGGAATTTTAAATACTACTGGATTCACCCAGAAAAGGAACTAGGGGGGGGGGAAAGAAAAAATGTTTTTTAATATGTTACAATAGTACCAACTATCATTTTTGACACATTAGGCAGTGATAAAGCTACACTGGGTAGATTGCTTGATCTTGTGTAGTACTATTTTTTTTAAGATTTTTTTATTGGGGAATTGGGGGATGGGAACAGTGCTGGGGAATTGGGGGAAGGGGAACAGACAAGTTGCTGTCCTTTTGTTCT